AGGCTGCAGGGATTCGGGAAGACTCTGGAGCTGCTTCCCTGCGTAGCAGCCAGCATGGGGGGAATCAAGAAGCAAACAAGGCTTTTTCCCTGGAAACCTGATTAATTCAGCAGGTTATATCGAAGTTTTTTGGATTCTTGAATACAAACCCTCCCTTCTCCACTGCAGTTTGAGGAAGAACTCACAGTTTTGTCTCCTTCCACTTTCCTCGGAAGGAACCTTGAAGCCTTGAACACCTCTGTAGCATCAAGGTCTACCCCAGCTGGGCAGGAAAGTCCGTGGATCCCTCCAGCTCTGGGCATTTTTACCTTCCCTCCAAGTAGCATCCCAGGGCGCTGTCAAGTTCCCGTCCATCTCCGGCATCCCAGCAGGTCTGAGTGCCGCGGAATCCCTCCCAGGCCAMCGTTTCCCTGGGAGGAGGGAAAAGCTTGAGGCCGGAGAGGGAGAGAGGGAGGCATCAGGAGCTGGCGCAGGCTGGGGCGGACACGGGAAAGTCCCTCCCAGAACCAGTGTGAAACATATGGGATTACGGAAAAATTGGGAAAATGCTGAACAGGAGGATCGGGCAACCTGGCAAAGCCTTTATGCGGGATATTCCATGGGAGTTTTCCCAGCAGCAGTATCCACAACAGTCTCAAACAGCGGGAAACTTCCCACCAAGACAGCTGCATCCCCGCACTGATCCCRGCACACACTGCCCGAGAGCACGGCATTTCTCATACCTCTCCGCAAGGATTTTCCAGCAGGTCTCCGTGGCAGGGAGCTGCGCAGGGATAAGGTGTCTCCCCGTGAGAACCTGCGTTTCTGACTGGATAAAGGTGACAATGAGCACAGCGTTTTATTCTGTCAYGAGCAAAACCAGCCTCCCCCAAACACCAGCCACGTTCTGGCAATGCCGTTTGCCCAAAGATCCACTCAGAGCGACGCGATTCCCTTCGGGAAATGCAATTTGGGGCCTTTCCCGCCGCTATCCTAGAGGCCACAAACCTTAAATGCCGCCGCGGGGCGTCTTTAAGGAGGAAACSGGCTGCGTTTGCAGCGCAGGGCTCAGTCTGAGGCCGCCCGTCCATCCGCTGCACCCAACCCAAGACTCGGGTAAACCATTCCTAATCCCAGGATATTCCGTTCTTTTTTTTCCACTTCACTAATGGTTTTAAGGAGTTGAGCGCACTGGCTTGATCCAACGAGAAAATAATATTACACTAATATCCCATTTCTCGCTGTCCTTGCCCTTGCTGGAGTCTCCGTGGGAAGAAGTCAGGGCTTCCCTGGAGAGGCCAGGCACAGTTTGAGGAGCTGCGGCCGCAGGGACAAAAGGGAATGAAGAAATAATCAGTATTTCTCGGACGTGAAGYGTTAGTTTAATTTGTCATCCGCACGGGCAGCCACAGCGCTTCTCTGATGCACGAGATCAAGTACAAAGATGAGAACTGCAGCCTCTAAGGGAGCAGGCAGGGAGAGGTAAGAGAAATGTTAACAAAAATAAAGGAAAAATCCACCAAAAAAGAACCTGAGAAACCCTGGCACAGGGAAAAGAGGACGTGGCCCTGCAGAGCTGCATAGTTGCTCGTTGGCCCTTCATTTTGATGCCAGCATCTGAGAGCACTGGGTAAATACAAATCAAACGCCGCAATCTTCTGCTTCCTCGACCACCAGCCTCATTCTGTCATGGGGGAAACTCGTTTTCTGAGAACTGACCTGTATTTTTTCATCAGGAAACTGCTAGGAGGCTCTTCCCTGACCAACGTGTCCGGCGCTGGGATCCCCTTGGCCGCTGCACATTTGCCCTCCGAGGCTCTCGCTGCATCTTGCACAAATCAGCAGGGCTACAATAAATAAATAGATGAGTGACTGAGTACCCCAAATGCCAGAGGTAATTCCAGAGGTAAGTCCAGAGRGATAAATATAGTTACCAAGTAAAAACAATAATTCATGATGGGCAATAAAATACTGAAGGTAAGAACATGACCAATCATCCTGAGCTGGGGCTATAATCCAGTCTTAATTTTATCTGACATTTTATAATGTAATTTTTACTTTGTTGTCGATATAATATCAACGTGAATCTCCCCATATGGAAGAGTGATATCAGTGACGTCAGCAYCTCATATTATTTCCTCTGTTTCTTCAGTAAGAAGCAAAAAAGTGCCACGAGTGGCTACCTAAACCAAGACTCTGCTCCTGAAAAGCCCATCAAGGAAAACAGAAGCAGCTTCCATGGCCCCACAGCAGATTTCCCTATTTAAAATTCATGTAATTCACCCTTTTTCCCAAGGAGAAACACCGAGAGCACCAGCAGTGCTCGAACACCCCCACTCATTAATTCACCCTAGAATTAGAAATCAGAGAAATTGGAGGAATTTTGGAACGGAAATGAAACACAGAGCTACTTATAAAGCCTTTTCATGAGTTTTTAATGTATTTACTAAAAATCAGAGGTGAGCAGTAAGGCTAAAACTTGCAGGTGAGCTGCAGTTTGAGGAAGAACCCAGATGCTTTTCATGGGAATCTGCAAATCACCCAGGTGAGCAACACAGGGACAAGCGAATGCTCTGAATATGCAAAAGATGGGATAAGGAGGAATCCCATGTGCTATCCTTGTGGAAATTCCTGGGTCTCTAATCCCACCTCAAGCAGGGTAGGCGCAGGAGATGCCGAGCCAGCGCACGGCTCCTCCTCGCCTTGCTCGGACGTGATAAAAGTCCCTTTCTTTATATCAGAGAACACACCAGCAAGAGGGGAGCTGCTAAAAGCTTTACTGAATATTAATTCAGCAATTTAATATTGAAATGTTTCAATAATTTAATATTGAAAAGCTAAATAGTSCAGAAGGGCAGCCTGGTGGCTTGTRCTCTCCCYGTCTCGTAGCCAAAACCCAACATTAAGGCACCGCTTGCGCTTTGGGATCTGTCCCGTGTACCTGGGGACAAGACATGGGACAGCACTGGAAAGGCCACCTGAAACACAACAGGACAAGCGTTAATTGCAGCAAAGCTCCGGCTTTTGGCGATTATCTCATAAAAAGGCTGCTGGTTTTCCAGCTCCACACAGGGATGCCGTGCTCGGTGCCGACTCGCACTGAGTTTTAGCTTCTCTGCAATCCCTGCGGCTCACAGGAAGCTCGTTCAAATGACCACTCTGTATTTGACCTCTTTCTCTGCCCTGTTTTAGCTCTTTTTCTGCCTCAGGCATCACACCCAATTCCCTCCGGGCCGGTGCAGCTAATTTGGTGCCGCTCAAACCCAACTTGATGCAGATCCGGAGCTTTGAAGCTCCCCCTTCCCATGCCACCTATCCGGGAATCATCAACACCACTCGGTGCTGTGTCCAAGCAGTCACTGCCTCGTCAGCAGCGCACGATGTTTCGGAACGCATTTCAGGCAGATGCAGTTGCTGTAATTCCATTTTTCACGCGGATCCATCGTTATCCATCTCTCGGGCTTTAATCCGGACTAACCGCAGCGACTGCTGTGTTATTTGGGATAACGCTTGTGCCCTTTGCAGTACCTGGCTGCCATCCTTCCTTTCCCTGCCACATCTTAGCCCATGTCTCTTAATAACACGGTCCCGTTTCATTTCCAGGATTGCAACTTAAATCAACCTGGACATCGCATTTTTTTCATAATATACGTTTATGATGATGGATATTTTGTGCTGAGAGGCGTTACCGAGAGCACCTTCTGTGGTTCATTTCAGGACAAGCTTTAGTAACACCAATAATTTTCAGGTTCAATCCTTTTTGACAAAAAAGACACATCTCTGTTGCTTCTGTCCTTATTTTATGACCCTAATATGACAGATACTACGAGAGTTTCATTCGATTCCCAGATCTGACACTCCGTATCGCTGYGCAGGCTGTGGGCCACCTCCCAGCYTAGGCAATTCCCAGGTAAGAGTTTTTGCATCAAATGAGTTAAAATGCTCCAAATCTTAAARCAGTATCAGTTGGGCCTCTCATGATGCCACTTGCCATTAAAACATCACACAGACCCAGTCTTGAGGCCATACTGTCAATATTTCCCTTCCTAAAGAGCCACAATTTCTGCTGGATTTTGAAACAAATAATAATAGTAATAATAATAAAATATATATATATTAGCATGCACATATATGGATTATGTAACACTAAGAGGACCCTGCTCCCTTGCTGCCACTGAGGGGAAGCCTTGCATTGCTCAAACRGTGGCTTTCGTTATCTCGGGAACCATCTCTGATTTCTCTCTCAGAAATGCTCCACAAAGGCCCCGTTCCTGGTTTCCGCTTGCAGAGCGTCCTGGGCTCTTCCATTCGCCGTGGCTTGTGTTGCTGCCACCCTCCCTTCCCTCAGACCTGGGTGCCCAGGCTCTGCTGCAGCCCCTCTCCATCACTTCCAGCCAGGCGGGAGCAGCGAGATGTGTCCAGATCGTTTTTTTTTCCATGTTTCCATGCTCCCACATGTGACATCCAACCCACCTCAGAAACTGCCATCTCAGCACCTTGGCTGTCAACAATATCCCTGATCCACTGCAGCGACTCCCTGACCTTCCCAAAGCAGCRGAAAGGGGTAAAATTGCCAATATTTGGGGGCAGAGCCACCAAGGGCAAGTTTGTTGTGTTTGAAGCTGGAAGTGCCTTCAGGTGGGATCCATGCCCCCTGCCCTGCTCCAGGTCTCCTCTTGCTACCGACTTCAACCATAGCAGCTGCCCTAGAAGAAAAGTTATTAAACACACACAGAGCAACAAAAGAAAGCCCCCAAAGCAGAGACAAAAACCACACAACAGTCAAGAATTGCTCTTTCTTCTTCTGTGCCACCCGCAGGGGATAAAATGGAGCCTCTTTTGCTGGCGCTCGACAAACGGCAGCCGCGAYGAGGGCGTCCCCTTCCACCTGGCACCGTGCTGATTCGAGGCGACAAAGACTTCACCCCGCTACAGCTAGGAGCAGCTCTCCCTATCCAGCCCTCGTTCCGCGTTGCTGCAGCCCCACTCACGCTCTCGTCTCTCCTGGATCCCTTCCTCTGTGTTCTCCTCGTATCTCTGATTGCTTCTGACACGCCGCTTGCCCAGGTTAAAACGTTCTCTGCTGTGGAGGTGGTTGGTAGAAGGAAGCACTGAATTAGCTGCGGGATTTCACCACGGTCAGGAGCCCCCGGGACCCCGAGCAGGCCGAGAGATTTTTACGGGGATACCCTGAACCATTCGATGACCATCACGATGGTCAATGATTTGGGGTCTCTCCCGCCGGGATGAGGGCGAGGAGGAGCGGCCGGGTGCTGCRGCAGAGCCATTGAATCCCAGCGACTCTCGTGCAGCTACTCAGGGGTTTAAAAGTAAGCACTTAAGTGCCTATCGGCTGCACGAGGGCTTTAGAGCTCTTCAAGCTAGTGAAAYGGATGGTGCTTCAAAGGCATTAAAAGTAGGTTACGGAAAAATATTTCCCAGGCTGAGGAGATACCTGGATAAAACTGACAGTCTTTAAGTGCAGGTGAGGAARTAGATGGAGTTCTCAGTGGGGCCCTTTCTATAGGGTTTTATTCCCCGGTTTATTCCCTGTTCAGCACTTGCTCTGCTCATCATGGAGCCAAAAAAGGACAAGTTAGACCAAGCGTGGCGGGAGCCGCGTGGAGACCAGGAATTCTTCTCACATGGAGCACCTAGAAGCCAACAGCAAACAGGAGTGAGGAGAAGGCTCTGTATTTGCTGTCACCCAAGTAGCCAAGTACATCACAAGCAGCTATCTGCTAGAACAGCAGTAATATAATATTTGATATTTCATAGGTTAGTAATACTTATGATGAACAAMTTCCCCAAATAAATACATTTTCACCCCCCCCACACACCCCCTTTGGCCTTTTGCTCTGATGAGATAAGGAAATGAGGTTACTTGATTTCCTTTTAGAGCTTATAACCAGCCGCACTATTTTAATAATCTCCACTTAGTTCCACTTTCAGTTTCCTAAACGTCCTACGACACAGCAGTGGTTTTGTTGCAAACACCGCAGGGAGACGTTTCGGGTGCCAACAAACCCAATTTTATTATTACTCCTTTTAAATGCCGTGAAATACTCCCCCCAACCTGAAGCTTTGGKTTTTTTTGCAAGGCCTTGCACTCCTCATGGTTAAATATCTGACCTTGGTATCACTAACTTTATATCGAAAGGGATGTGCGTAAGCATGAGGAGCTTCCAGAATTAGGATACCTGCATATAAGAAGCAGCATTCCCAACACTTACCCCGACGTTGCAACCTCCTTGCTGCAAGCAGCTGTGTTATTAACCTGTCCRGAGCCAAGAAGAATGGGGTATTTAAAGATAGGAATTAATAACAGCAACAGTAATAACTTTAGTTAAGTATACAAATATAAACACGATATTAATCATTAACAGAAATCAGCCCATTAAGAATGTTTCAAAGCTCTCTAGGAGAGGAACTGTGGGCAACTGAAATTTCCTCTGCTTTTTAAATGTGGCCTCTCATTCTCTCTATTATACAAAAAAAAAAGTTATTGTTTTGGAAAAAAATCTGTTGCTATTTTGTTTAGCTGTCCCTCTTTTGACACCATCTGTGGTCAGATTAAAAGCTGGGATCGGAATCCACATCTCTGCGTTTAATCTCTTGTTGATATTTCTGTAGATTGAGAGGTTAAAAAAAAAAAAAAGATTACTAGGGGCCAGCCAGTTTTTCAAGTTTGAATTATGTCTGTACAATCTTAATGAATTTCTTAAGTCGAATGTAAATATGACCCTGGAATGTGGAAACATCCATTTTTTTGCTCTCTGAGGTCTAATAAAAACACAAAAGCTTTTCTGTGCGGTTCCACACAGCGCTAGCAACGCTTTGGAGCACACCCTCCAACCCGAGGCAGCTCGAGGGGCCGAAATCCAAGTTCGCGGAGCTTCCTGCGGGACACGAAGTGTTTTCCTCCTAATTGTTTACAATTTGCTCTCTGCTGTGCCCGCACTCCGAGCCGATGCCATAAAAAGCCGCCGAGAAATCCGAGGCGGCCGCTTCGGAGCGAGCGGAGCCTTTAGCCCCGGCAGGCAATAACTGCAGCTGCAAAGTCCCTCGCCACGGACTTTTTGCCCTTGCGTCGGGCGTAAAATAGGTCACGGCAGAGGGACGCTGCGTCTTTAAGTATTGCCCGGCCGGAGCCGGATTATCATTAGGTTATGTAACCGCTGATGAGCTGCTTTTCATTAGGGCTCCCCGCCGYGCCAGGGATGTCTTTCCTTGCGGGATGCTGCGCGCCCCGATGGGCTCCGGAGGCTGCTGCTGGGCCGGGGGCTCTGCGCATCGCCGCGGTGCCCAAAGCGACCCCCGGACCTCAGCGGGGTCCTGTGTTAATTTTGGTTGAAGGATGTGTGAAATTGTTAAAATGAGAGGCGTTACCTCGGCGCGTTAGGAGAGTTCTCCTGGCGCGGAGCTGCATTCCTGGAGTGCGCTCCCTGCGGAGCAAAACCCCCGAATCTTCCGGGTTTGGAAACGGCAGGCAACAACATTGCTGAGACCCTGCAAAGGGAAGGACATTTGAGGCAGAGCTGCTGGCAATCACAGCCTCACACCCTAGGTGGGCACAGGCTCCCCGAGGGGTCCATGGGTCTCTCCTGGGGTCCCCAGGACACTGGTCTGCACCCTTGGTCCTTCCCGCATCCCGTGGTCCCATCCCAAACGGAGGGACCCAGGGATGGTTCCCTTCAACACAGCAGGGAGGCCGACCCACAGCAGACAGTGGGGCTGCTCCGAAGGGAAGTAACGGATTGGGGACAACCCTGAATGCTTTACTGCYAATTATCCAGGGGATGGACAAATTAGGAGAAATGGAGGAAGGGAGATAGGAGTAACTGCTGAAGGGCTCAGCACTGCACAGAGCCGAGTCCAGGAGGTCCGTGGAGCTCGAAAGAACTGATTTCATACGAAATGGATGCAATGCTGTCACCAGGGATTTACTGCATTGCTCTTTAGAGTGCTGGACTCAGCCGTGAGGCTTTGAGGAACTCCACACCACCAACCTTAACCTCCCAGGCTGACGACTGCGGACGCTCGYGCTGCACAAACCGCTCTTAAAACAACAGTCTGCTTCACAAAGCAGGAGAAAATCTGAAAATGCCCTTTAGCSCAAGCAAGTTACACAGAACGACAGGCTAAATAGTGATGTGTAAAACACGGGGTTTATGGCCATGAAGGAGACAAGCGGGAGACCTCAGCGCTGTTTGGGTTGGTGATTCCATCGCTCCCTTGATGCTTGACCTCCCCATAAACCTCTAAACCACGGCTTCGAATCTGGAAATTGCAAACAATCCTATCAGCTAGTTTTACGAAGGACGCAGATTAGCGAGACATAACAAAAGTAAATTATTTGTCATTTTAACTGAAATGGAAATTAGAGCTGCTCGCACATAAAATCTTAGCCACTGAAGTTATGCTTATAAGCAGGAGAGGCCTTTGGATTTAACTCCAAGAGTTAAACTCTTTTGGATTTAACTCTAAGAGTTTTGAGATAATTTCATTTTGCTGATGGATTCCCTTTTTGCTATGGGTRCTTCAATGCGACACTTAATCCTTCTCACGTTTTAAAGCCTCATTTAAATCACCCCAGCCTGACGGCACTGTATTTAAAAATGCCATCGTTTGTACTTACATTTCACTTTAAAACAAACGTGAGGATGAAAGTCATAAAAACGTCTCTCTCAGCGTTAACATCACTGCAAACTTAAGATGTTCCCCGCGCTTTGCTCCCGCCTCTCCGTCTCCACGACTTTGCGTCAGTTTTGGAGGCTGCACGATTTCTGCCTGCGCCAAAGCAAAGCGGGCACAGCCTGGAGAGGCAGTGGCGAGCCGGCGGCGTGCAAAAACGCCGGGATTTTTCCCGGTTTCCTTCCCTCCCCGCCAGCACGGGGAGCAGAAGGAAAACATTAGCACTTCCCCGGCGCTGTGTGCAGCGCATCCCCGTTACCTCAGCCCCTATTAAGTTGGCAATTAAAGGAGAATCACAAGAATTTCTTTGTTCACTCGAGGGGATTTGTTAGGGGCGCRCGATCTCGCTCTTCTCCATCTTGCTCCTCTCGCGAGGGTTTCAGCGCTTCCTTTGGGGCGCACGGACCTCAAATTACTCTGAAACAACAGAAAAAAACACATAAAAATAAAAATACATAAGAAACCCATAAAAATCTGTGTGCTAGTTGTTTATCTAGCTGAAGAAGGATAAAATATGCAGCTTTTTGCATGTGAATTCACCTAAGAAGTGAGCTACATTGCAGTGAATACAGAACAGCCCAGAAAAACCCTCTTGGTTTCTGAATAACCAACCCAACAAACACCGAATGGTTGTGAAGTTCCTCAGCCCCTAGGGCAGAGAAGCAAAGGGTTAAGTCAAGCTCAGCTCGCCCATCCCCTTTGCAGGGCAGAGAAGCAAAGGGTTAAGTCAAGCTCAGCTCGCCCATCCCCTTCGCAGGGCTGAGAAGCAAAGGGTTAAGTCAAGCTCAGCTCGCCCATCCCCTTCGCAGGGCTGAGAAGCAAAGGGTTAAGTCAAGCTCAGCTCGCCCATCCCCTTCGCAGGGCCGAGAAGCAAAGGGTTAAGTCAAGCTCAGCTCGCCCATCCCCTTCGCAGGTGCTTAAGAGATAAGGAAGCAGTTATGAAATACATGCCAGGATGGAATTTATTTTTTTTCACAGTTGGGAAGCAAGAAATATCCGCTTGAGACCCACCAAAATAGGCGAATGTGTCTGAGAGAGAAGAACCCAGACCACGCAGTGACTGTTGGGTGGGCTGGAGATGTCACCCGTTTGACCAGTTTTCTCAAGCCCAGTTTGTGCGGTTGGAGGCAGTGTGGCCAGGACATCCCATGGAAATCCCAAGGAATAAGCAGCCCTATGGAGCCACCTGAAGCTCAGGCTTATTTAACTGTCCAACCATGGAGGTGTTTGGCCTCGTGAAGGTGTTTGGGGGCTTGGCGGCTCCATGGAGAGGATGAATAATCCAAGATCTGGCCTGGACGTGGGAAAATATGGGAAGCTGCTCTCCTTGCAGGGATTGGGGTGGAAGCGGGAGGAGATGGTGGCGATGGGACCTCAGCGCGGCCATGGAGCGTCTCCCCCAACACGACGCCCGAGCGAGGGGGGACATCCAAAGGACGGGATGACACCGCGATCCCAGCGGGACTGGGCCGGGATAACCCTTGGAGCGGGTCCGTGGCAGCGAGGGGACACGGTGTGCGACCCACCAAGAGGTGACAATGCCGAGGGGGACAGGGCGGCCGCCCCCCTGCTGCCAAGATGGCGCCGGAGGCCCCTTCCTCCTCCTCCTCCTCCTCCTCGTTCCCCGCAGCTGGTGCCGGCTGGGCAGGCAGCGGCCCGCGCCGGGGAGGCCGCGAGGAGGAGGAGGAGGAGGGAGGAAGGGGGCAGGGAAGATGGCGGCGGCAGCGGAGGAGGAGGAGGAGGAGGAGGAGGAGGGAGCGCGCGGCCTCCTCCGACACCGCCCCGCTCGTCCCCCGCGCGCCGCTCCGCCCCGTCCCGTCCCGCCGCCAGCGAGGGAGGAGAGCGGCGGAGCGAGCGCGAGCCCCGCAGCCGCCGCGCGCCGCCCGCCACAGGGGCCCCGGGTGCCCAGCAGCGCCGCGGCGGGAGCCGGGGCCCCCCGCAACCCGCGCGCCCCGGCCGGGCTCGGCTCGGCTCGGCTCGGCGGGCCGGGCCGGGCGCCCCCCGCGCGGCCGCGGGAGTCGCTGTCGCGTCGCGGCCCTCGGCGCTGTCAGCGCGGCAGGTGAGCGCGACCATGGCGGGGGGGGAACGGGACCGGGGAGCGGGGACGGCGGGGCCCGGGCCCGCCCGCCGCTCCCGCCGGGGCCTGCGGGGAGGCGCAGCTGTCACGGCGGGGGCGGGCCCGGCCCCCCGGCCCGCGCCGCTGCCATGGCGGCGGGCGGAGCCACCGGGGGGGGGCGGCCGCCATCGCCCCCCTCCTCCCCGCAGCCCTTTTGGGGGGGGCGCCGCCCCCCCGCCGCGCTGAGGGGGCGCTGGGCGAGATTTCCTGCGCGTTTCTTTAAAGTTGATCAAAAGCCGCTTTTTTTCCGCACTTTTTTTCAGCCCTCGGAAAGGGGGGGTGGGGGTTGGGGGTGGCGCCGCCCCCCCTTTTTTTTGGGGGGGGGGGGCGCCTCGTTTTGAGGCGTTTTCGGTGACAGCCCTTTGTCTGCGCGTCGCGTCCTGCGCTCGCTCTGCCGAAAATCACATTTTTTTGTGTGTGTGTGTGTTAAAAAAGAGAAGGATTTTGATGGTTTTTTTGTTGCCGCGTTTGTTCGCGGGGCTCTTGGCCGGACGGGTC